TTTTTTTCAATGTTTTAAAGTCTAAAACCTATCCTCCGTGACTGTTACTCTATCTAGGTTAACCTATATGTTTTCAAATATCTGAGGTACTAAAAGCATACTAAAAATATCAGTTCACTAAGTAAATTAAACACATCCAAAGCAATCGAATCAAATATAAAATATTATTAAAAATTAAAAGAAATAATGTTTATAACCATTTATGTAGGTATTACAAAAATTGATTCTATCCTCCGTGAATCTGTTTTTGCTTTAAATTTTATGCAACGGATGGCGCTTTAATCATTTTAAATTAGCAAAAACCTAAAATAAAATATTAAAATATTAACATTTTCATCAATAAAATTGTGCATGTATTTTAGACACGGTTGCCTGAGGAAGTGGTGGTAGATCTGCGTTTTTTCATAAAAAGATTTGCACCTTGCTCTAAGGCACATATTACCGTAACCAATCATCATTAATATTTCTTTTCGCAGAGTGTCTGTTAAGTGTCGCATTTTTTAATTAAAATTTTAAGTGTTGCAGCGCTAATAACAAATTATTGCAATTTTATTAAGAACACGGATCAAAGAAAATACTACAGGTAAAGCGTAAAATGTTTTACTAATAATTAAATTTTAAACCTTAAATTAATATGATTTTATTTTTATACAAAATATACATAAAAAGTTTTCAAATGGCTAATATAGGAAAAATAATTTAAAAAATCAAAATCAAAAAGAATAAATTATTTTGAAAAGAAAACAAACAATTTAACAAAAAAACCATTCGTCTTCAGTCATACCTTTTTTGCTACTCATGCTACAAAAATATATTTAGTGCATATATTTGCAAACATGCTACAATCAGTATTTTAGAAAAAAAAGACAATCCCCAACTTTTTTTTCTTCAATATTATTAATACATACAAGTACATACCTTCTCAAATAGTAGAATACCTTTTTTATTTACCTATAGTAAACAATTAAATAAAACTGTCATTCAAACGCAATCTATGGTCAAAAAATAACAAATTTTATTCCATAAGTGGGAACCATAATTTTTAAGAGTGGAAGAAGGCAGTTTTCGTAATTCAGCAGTAGATCCTTCACCGGCGTTGAGTGATAGTCGAAGTTTGCTCTGGATTATAATACGAATTACGCATTATTAAGTTAATTAACTTTTAAAAATGATTTAGATACTTAAGATGTAACGTAATCTCTTTTAACAGTAAGTAATAGTAATAAGTCAAAGTAATGTCAAAGTTAAAGCAAAATTTTTTTGTAAAAGTAAAAAGATAATAAATCTATAATAGATGAAAGCATAAAATTTGGGTAATATTATTATGATATTATTTAAGATTTTATTATTTTTATTTTATAAAATAAAAATAAAATGTATAAAAAAGTAATCCTGTTATTGGGCCCAAGGCCTATTGGATACAAATATATAAATCAGTGGCGGCTCGTGGGTGTACAGGAGGGTGAGGCTACATAAGGTTAATTTTGTCTAAATACGAATAAATTTCCACGTCACCCGGGAGGTATTATTCTGCGACGCGTTGACCTTTTTTAAAATGGAGCCGATAGCACTACTAAACCAAAAAATAAACTCCAAAAAACAAAACAAACAAAATATCACATCAAAGACTAGTTTTAATCTTAAACTTAAAATATAGTCTTAAAAAAGTTAAAAATAAATAAATTAATCAAAAAATAAAAATAAAACTAAAAAGTCCACCCCTACCTAAGTATTAAAAAATATAAAATACTATACGTCTATCTTGTAAAATTGAAAATTTATCTATTATTTGGTCGTAAAATTGTGGGTCTGCAGTGAGATTTAAAAGTAATTGTAAATTTTTAAACCGCGTCTCTAATTGAAGAATTATGCAATCTATTATTTCAAAATATAAAATTTGCTTAATAAAAACTGCTAAATCTACCTTAGTGTGTTCCCTACAATAATTAAATAAGAAATTTTACTAATCGAGACAAAAACTATAAAAGATCAGCCAAAAGTTTTAAATAATTTAATCTGAATCAAAACAATAACGTGCTCTACAAACGCTAAGAGAAGACTGGCAACCTTCTTTGTCTCCGCTGGCATCCCACCATAAACGGACCACCAATCAGAACAAACCAAGCCAACTAAATTCCGCCTCATCTACGTTGTTTATTCGCGAACTTACGGCGATATTTTTGTTGGTGAGTCATTTTCGCTTTCAAGAGGTAAATGGGAGCTTCCGAGGCTGTGAAAATTTCGCCTCTGTCCAAGCGACTCAACGATGCACGTTAACTTGACGCGCTTTGCGCCTGAATTTTTATTTACGCTTAATATGATTGATTGGTTTTTTACTTTTTATTGGGTAGAACTGTTGTAAAAATACACTTGTAATAGGCAAAAATATAAATACAAAAAGTCGTTCGTTCCTTTATTTTAAGGGTGAGGCGCGGCCTCAGAGGCCTACCCTGACGAGCCGCCACTGGGCCCAAGGCCTATTGGATACAAATATATAAATAAATAAATAAACAGTAAATTATTAATTAAAGGTGTAACATTATTTGTTTTGCATTTAATTAAAACTAAACTAATAAGAACGTTTAAACCTAAAAAATTCTCTTTAAAACTAAAATAAAAATAAAATAGTTTTCTTAAAAACAAATTAAAATAAATAAATAATTTTGTTTCAACCCACCGCAAAAAAAGTGAAAAAAAAATGATGTTGATGAAATAAATGAGGAATACCCAACTAAAATCAACAAAAAATTACAAAAATTTCAGAAATGAGCAAAAATCAACAAAATTAGCAAAAATCAACAAAATGAGCAAAAATTAACAAAATGAGCAAAAATCAACAAAATGAGCAAAAATCAACAAAATGGCCAAAAATCAACAAAATGGCCAAAAATGCAAAAAAAACTTGTAAAAAAAACTTACCCCCTCAGGAAATGTGCTGACACGTCCAAAAAACGAAAAAAAAAAATTGCAACCCAACCCAACCTGACTCCTCAGTAAATGCTCTGAAACGTCCAAAAAAGCAAAAAGGTGAATTTTACATATCCCCATATAAAAAAATCGTTAGGAGCCAAGTCTGGCGACATTGCTGGCCAGCGAATAGCGCCCTTGGTAGAAATTGATACCAACCGTTATCCAATGGTCCAACTGGGACCTAAAATACAACCGTTTGTTTTAAACCTTTGAATAACGTTTGTTATTGTTCTAATTCACGGAATAGAACGTTCCGGATATTTAACTGGGTGTGGGTCTCTTATGTCAATTTTTTCTTGCAATTTGTAGGACATTATAACTTTAATATATAATAATAATTAATTTTAAATAAAAAAAATATGTTTTGTTGAAACTCGAAATACACACTGGCAAATGCAAAACATAACTGAATCGTCGCCTACGGCAATGCGCTAACAATGCATCTGGGGAGGGCAATTTGGGTAATAATATTAGGATATGTATAAGGATATTATTTAAGATAGTGTATAAAATAAAAATAAAATGTATAAAAAAGTAATCCTGTTATTGGGCACAAGGCCTATTGGATACAAATATATAAATATTTAAATAAACAATAAATTATTAATTAGAGGTGTAAAATCATTTGTTTTACATTTAACTAAAACTAAACTAAAAAAAACGTTTAAACCTAAGAAATTCTCTTTAAAAACTAAAATAAAAATAAAATAGTTTTTTTGAAACAAATTAAAATAAATAAATAATTTTGTTTCAACCCACCTCAAAAAAAATTGTAAAAAAAAAAAGACTAAAATCCCCTAAATGAGCAAAAATCAACAAAATTAGCAAAAATCAACAAAATGAGCAAATATCAACAAAATTAGAAAAAATCAACAAAATGAGCAAAAATCTACAAAATGAGCAAGAATCAACAAAACGGCTAAAAATGCAAAAAAATGCAAAACAAAATCGCAACCTAACCCCCTCAGGAAATGTCCTGACACGTCCAAAACAGCAAAAAAAAATTGCAACCCAACCCAAACTGACCCCCTCAGGAAATGCTCTGAAACGTTCTAAAAAGCAAAAAAGGAGATTTTACATATCTGCATATAAAAAAATCGACATTGCTGGCCAGCGAATAGCGCCCTTGGTAGAAATTGATTCCAAACGTTATCCAATGATCCAACTGGGACCTAAAATACAACCGTTTGTTTTTAACCTTTAAATAACGTTTGTTATTGTTCTAATTCACGGAATAGAACGTTCCGGATATTTAACTGGGTGTGGGTCTCTTAAGTCAATTTTTTCTTGCAATTTGTAGGACATTATAACTTTAATATATAATAATAATTAATTTTAAATAAAAAAAATATGTTTTGTTAAAACTCGAAATACTCACTAGCAAATGCAAAACATAACTGAATCGTCGTCTACGGCAATGCGCTAATAATGCATCTGGGGAGGGCAATTTGGGTAATAATATTAGGATATGTATAAGGATATTATTTAAGATAGTGTATAAAATAAAAATAAAATGTTTAAAAAAGTAATCCTGTTATTGGGCCCAAGGCCTATTGGATACAAATATATAAATAATTAAATAAACAATAAATTATTAATTAGAGGTGTAAAATCATTTGTTTTACATTTAACTAAAACTAAACTAAAAAAACGTTTAAACCTAAAAAATTCTCTTTAAAAACTAAAATAAAAATGAAATAGTTTTTTTGAAAACAAATTAAAATAAATAAATAATTTTGTTTCAACCCACCTCAAAAAAAATTGTAAAAAAACTTGAAAAAAAAATGATGTTGATAAAGTAAATGAGGAATACCCGCAATGAGCAAAAATCAACAAAATGAGCAAAAATCAATAAAATGAGCAAAAATTAACAAAATGAGCAAAAATCAACAAAATGAGCAAAAATCAACAAAATGAGCAAAAATCAACAAAATGAGCAAAAATCAACAAAATGAGCAAAAATCAACAAAATGAGCAAAAATCAACAAAATGAGCAAAAATCAACAAAACTATTATTTCTTATGTTGCAGGTGTCTTGGATGCGCAAACGGGATCTGCACATCCTTACTTCGGGTATTCACACGTACACAGGAGATCAGCGCTTCAGCGTGCGGCACCCCGAACACAGTGACGACTGGGATCTGCGCATCGATTATGTGCAGAAACGCGACGGCGGCGTCTACGAGTGTCAAGTCAACACCGAGCCCAAAATCAATCTGGCAATCATGCTAAACGTTGACGGTAAGAGAAAATGACAGATTAATGTTGATCAAATGCTTCTTATCACTAATATATTAGTAGAGCATCGACTGGCTTTTTAGTGCTTCGCTTTTGCGCTTATCACTTGACTGCGCAGTTGTCCCACCCCTGTAAAATTAAAATACTAAACAAGAGCGCCTTTAAATATTTAAATAGGACGTATCGAGGTAAACATAATTTTTTTTTAATTAATCATGTTATTGTTACTATGCTCCACACCTCAAAGTCCCACCACGTGACCACGTACGGAACGCAGTCTTTTAACAATTTGGCATTTAAGGCTTTTCAGGTTATGTATCTGTCAAAGTATAGTCAATGAAAGAAATAATATTTATAGTGTTACCGTAAGGTGCAATATAAGTGATATTTTTATGCATTGGGTCTACATTTCTCCATCAAATAATTTTAACTAAAAAGCATTTATTAAAAAAACTTCTCTATTATGAAATAGGAATATCTGTTTCAAAGGTAGGTTAATGTATTAGAACAAAAAATATCATCTAATTTTGTATTTTAAGGTTAGAAAAATCTATTTTGACCAAAATAAATAAGTGGATTATTTGAAAGATTGTGCTTTTTGTATTGACAAAACTTTATGTAGGTACACTTTAAGCTGGATAGGAAAACTACCACCATTTTTAAATACCATATTATACAGTCTTTTAAATAATCCAAAATACTTATTTATTTTGGTCAAAATAAATTTTTCTAACCTTAAAATTACAAAATTAGATGATATTTTTGTTATAATATATTAACCTTACCTTTAATACAGATTTTCTTATTCCATAATAGAGAAGATGGATTTTTTTAAATAAATGCTGTTTAGTTAAAATTATTTTATGGAGAAAACCAGATATTTGGACCAAATGCACAAAAATATTACTTATTTGGCACCATACACTTTAGAATTTCATTAATGGCAGTATTTATATTCTTAAATTCTTAAACCATCCATTTTTATTGTAATGTTATAAAGATTTATACATTTTTAACGCCTAAACATAATATTATTTCTTTCGTTGACTATACTTTGACAGATACATAACCTGAAAAGCCTTAAATGCCAAATTTTCAAAAGACTGCGTTCCGTACGTGGTCACGTGGTGGGACTTTGAGGTGTGGAGCATAGTACCAAATAACATGATTAAATATTCTTTTAAATAACATTGCTCTCTTTAAATGAATTAGTCAAAAATGACTAATTATAAGTCATTTTTGACTAATTCTCATAGCAAAAAAGCATTCTACCCATGGTTAACTGTAGTACTTAGTCATTTTTGACTAATTCATTTTTAGAGAGTATAAATATTTTAAAGTTGAATATTATTTTTGAGTTGCTGTTTTGAGATAAAATTTTTCCATCATTTTTTTATGGGCAATTTAACCATGGAGCCTACATGCGTTTAACAATAATTCGTTGTTGGCCGCAAGAACTAGAAACGATTACAGAAATAATTTACTTTTTACTTATCTTAAATCAATTGAGCATTTAATTTTAAGGCAGTGAATTATTTACTGTTAACATGAATTTGTCTTATTAAAACACCCTGTAGAATCTAATCTTATCTAAAGTTTAGATACTTTAAATTGCATGTATTTTTTTGTCTCCCCTGGATTTTTTCTGCCAGTTCCCATGCTTTTTTCACTGTTGGCATTTCTTGAAAAAATAAAAAATAGATGTCAATAAAATATGCCTTTGTTAGCAGAAACAAGCTTATAAGTAAACATAAACATTGTATTAAAATTAGGTAACCATGTTTTACTAGATGGTCCATTAATTTTAATTAAATAGTTTTAAAAATAGTATATTATGTATCAAGTTTGATGAACGCCATTTTATACACGAATTTAATTTAATTAAATTAATGAGTGTATAGAAAAGTTTTAAAAACGAGGTGCATACTATACTTTTTCTACGACAAATACTTATTATTATCTTAAAATGATTTAAATCAAAAATTTGTATAGAGCGCCATCTATGAAACAAAAGGGGAATCTGTGTGTCACCGTCAAATGTCAAATTTTAATATTTTATAAACACAAATTATAAAGGTCATAAATCGAAATGTATTTCTTGAAAATTTACAGTTTTTCACAGTGAAAGTAAAGAAAATGTTTTTTGAGCACTTTACAGTGGAGTCCGTGCCCGAATTTAAGTTATAGTTTACTGCCGGCGAAATTAAAGGGTCAGTACAATGTTCATATAAACTTTTCAAATATTGGCGTTGAGAAACTATTTAATACTTTTGTATTTTTGTATTGAGCTTGTCAATGTGTATTTAAAAGGTCACTTAAAATTCATAAGATAAAATAAAAATTTGATTACCTAAGTTCAATTTCTTTATCTACTCCCACATTGCTAAGCTGTGACTTTATCGAGTTTTAGTCACGGGCTAAAGTTAGCAGCAGTTGCTTTCGGGCATTTTAGTCACAGGATGAGGTTAGCTTTATTATAAATTTGGAAAAAGTGAGGTTAATTCCGTTGACAGTTGAGTTGTTTGGCAAATAAAATTGGATTTAAATTCTTCTTTGTGTTTGTCGTAGATAAAGTATAGTATGAAACTCATTTTATAAACTTTTTTTTACACTCGTTAACTAAAAATGCGTTTATAAAACTAGTATATCTTTAATTTTTAACTTTTAACGTTTTAACTTGGAAAATGTCGATTTATACTAAAAAAATGTTTAGTCAAAAGATTGCATCATTTTTAAGACTAACATTTCTATATTTATATGAAAATTTGACTTATTGACAATAAAACCACAGTGCGTCGTTACGGGCATAATGGCCAGATTAGGTTCTCTCTGCGCCATTATAAACCATTTGCTAAATTGTGTTTTACTAACGTGTCTTGCTGCTGAACGAAAAGAAACAGCCATCTGGCTGTTGCGGCTTTTTATTTTTTGAAATGTTTATCAGGGCGTTTACTGAAGTAAATTAAAAAATATTTTTTCTGCTCCAATATTTTAATTAGTTTATTAAAGATTTTGTACCTACTATAATAATATGCATTATAATAAAATAATGGTATTACGATACAAATTTATAACCAATAAAAATATTTTGTCAATATCATCTATTGCCTTGGATATCTAACAGATTTAATATTTATCAATTGTGATAAGTTAATGTTTACTAAATTTTTAAAATTGGTGAATGTAAAATTGAAAATTTAACCCCGTCTTAAATTGTAACAGGCCGCAAAAAACGCAAACAACTTATTACCCGTATAAAACATTTTAGAAATAAGTGTTAAATTTATAACATATTAGGTAAACCACTTAGTTATTGGACATATTATTTATTTAAAATATATATATGCGTTTGTTTAAACTTTATTTACGTTTACTTAAAAATAAGAATATTTGAATTTTTAATAATAGTTTTATAAAAACATGCAAAAAAGTATAGTAATTGGACATTTTATATAGTAATGTAAAATATTTTTTAAAGATAAATTGCTGTTTTATGTTATTTTTTTAATTTGTGTTTTTGTAAATATCATATAATTCATATATTTCTTTCTCGGATTCCTCATCCCTTTTCTGGATTCTGAAGGTAACTACTGATTCCTTGGTCTGACTTTTGAAATAGTTTGTTGCAAATATCATTAAGTGTGGTATCTCTAGTTTGTGAAGCATTTATAATGTTTAGGCCGGAACATAATGATTTATTTACATATATAATATTTTTTCGGGTGGTATGTTAAAAGTATTTTCCGAATTCATTAATTTTGTTGCCATTAGTTTTTTATGTTCTCTATCATGCACTGTATTTAAATCACTGTTATTCTGCAAGATGTCCTGTGACAAAGAAATCACTATATTACTTACTCCCCAAAAATGAATTAGACAAAAATGTTATAGCGAAAAAGCATCCACTAATAATTCTCGTCAAAAGCAATTTGTATCCAGGACATTTAGCAGTCAATTCCTATGAAATATTATTCGCTGAATCAGAAAATGTTATAAAAGTAGAACAGCTTTTGAAATATAATCAATTTTACATATAATATGGAATTGACTATATCTCAAAAACTGCTTAACTTTTATAGTTTTTGACTGTCTTTTCAGATTCAGGGGACAGTTTTACATAAGAATTGGCTAGTAAATGCCCGGGATATAAATAATGATATTTGGACATATGTCCAATAATAGAAATTTACATTTTTTACCAACCAGTAATTGGACACTGGCCAACAATGTTTAAACCATGAGGAACACATTTATATCACACACTGATCTGTACACTTTTTAGAAATATTTTTTATTGTAATTTGCTCTTAACAAAAAAACAAAAATCTTGTGCGAACTTTTTTGTCCTATATTGGACCCAAATAAAGTAATTCTTTATTATTACCGACTGAGATAATTATATACTTTATGTACTGTTATGGAACTATTTTTTGTGTTTGTTAGTATTTTTGATTGATTTTTATTTATATAAACTCCACAAATTAGTATTTAAAAAATATAAAAAAATATTTTGTTTGTGTTTTCTTTTTTTTTTAAGAATAAGAAGTTTTTTCGAACATAAATTCACAAATTATGATTTTAAAAGTTAAAAAATCTTTTTGCCAATAAATTTTGTAAATTTGTTCTTTTTTCAAAGATGGATTTTTAAATATTTTTAATAAATGTTAAAATTTATATATTTTTTTATTTGTTGTTCTTTTATCCCCCAATATATAACACAAACGCACTTTTAAACCACCTTATTCTCAGCAGCTTTTTCAGCTTGCTTAATTATCAGACTTAGCGAATTAGGTAGCTTTAAGCCCGGTTGAAATATTAAAGCTTTCATGAATTTATAAACTCTTTATTAACACCGAAAAAACGGTCTGTAATAAAAACGCAAACATAAAAAGTTAACAAAAATACAAATTTGTAAGATTGCAGTTTATTTCTAAATTCTTTAACATTAATATTCTTTTTGTAAATTTTACATTAAAATCCTGTGAATTTTTTGCGACTGTGAA